CATAAATTACAAATAAATAATAAATACATTAAATAATAATATAATAAAAATAAATAAAATTAATATTCTACAATACTTTCCTTGTTATCAAACAATACAGATATAATTTTGTCTTTTCTATTGTTCTCTAATCTGACTAGGGTTAATTCAGTTTGTTTTCTTATAGTTTTTTTGACAAATTCAATTTTTTTGCCTACAGATTTTCCAGGAATTTTTTCAACGTGGGTTTAAATTTGAATTTTTTTGCATTGAAATCTTGTCTTCAGTCTGAATGAAAACTATTGTCAGTTTCATATGATGCCACTGATTCTTTATCTTCTATTATATTAGAATTTAATGCTGTATTATTTGTATATTTTGCCTTTTTCTTTTTATTAGTTACTTCAGTCCACACGTTCCCATTATTTTTTTCGATATCAGTTGTCGATTCATCGATGTCACTTTGTTTTTCTTTACCTTTACCATTGCCACTGTTCATTATTACTTCAGGTTGTTCTATCATAACCGTAACTTCCATTTCTTTAATATCACTGTTGTCCTTAGTGTTGCTTTTTGTATTTAATGAATCTTTTGATGTAAATGATGCTGTTGTTTTATCAACTTTTTTAATGGAATTATTTCTTTGACTTTTTAATTGAGTTTGCATATTTGATTGTGAGGCCAGCTGAATTCTTGCTGACCTTCTTGTATAGACACTGGTTGAGCTATCACTCATTGTATCAGATTAAACATGGATTTTTTAAATAAAATAATGATAAAACAATTTCGATATGAAATTACTAAGTATTTTGTATTAATGAGTAATTTGGAAAAGAGTTTTTTTTTTTTTTTTCCTGGATAAGGATTTATTTGAGAAAGCGAATAATAAAATATTTATTAAAATAAATTCATTAACATATATTATATTAAAATGATTTTATTAATATATTGTATGATAATTTACTTACCATTTGTGAATGAATAAAATCAGTAAATCTTTTTTTATCACAACTTTCTTCCATAATATTTACAGTAATAAATTCATCTAAAATAAGTGCAGGAAGAATTGTATATCACTTTTACAAATAAAAACTATATTTTTTCATGCATGTGTATAAGTAGAAAAATGTTCATAAAAATGTAAAAGTGTATATTTATCTTTAGAACTTTTATCAGGAAAAATTAATTGTTCAGGTGTATAATTGTTTCCAATAGTTACCATAAAATTACTACAAACTATTTCATTTCTTTCACTAGTAGCCTTTTGTAGCTTTAAAAAAAAATATTATTATATTTGGAATTTAAAATTAAAATATAATAATAATAATAATTATCAAACCTTTTTATAAGCTATATCACAATAATTGAATAAATACCAAAGAGTAGACACAGATACAGACTTTCTAGTTAGTCTCTCATTTCAACTAAAAGTTCATTCAAATACCAGTCAATTTTTTCTTTTACAAGTTGTTGAAATAGCTTGAAGTTCTTTTCTTGAAAATTTCTATTTACATCTAGGTACTTCTTTAAATGAAGTTATTATACAACCCTACTTAGCAAATGTTTTGAGAATATTATTTACAGTAGATTTATTAATGAATAAAATTTTAGAAATTTTTTGTGAATTATGATTTCCATTTTCCAAGTAAACAACTTATCAGCATAGATCTTCACTGTATTCTCATGGCATCTATAAATTTATTATTAAAAAGCTAATAATCTTTGAAATTGAAAAAAGTAAAAATTGTAATTGTTGAAATCAAAGAGAAGAAACTTATTACTATGTACATTATAATTTAATAAAAACAAGTGTTGATATGTAGACAATAAAAAATAACATAAAAACAAGATTTTT